TTATCTATTCACGAACAGCTTGTAACACTCCAAAGAGAAAGGAAAAATTGAAATCACATCATATGACCCCTTTAAACGTTACAATTACACGAAACAAAGTCACAGTTGTGTAATATAAAGTTAAAAATGTGAGATAAGTAGTCACATTTTGAGTTTAAAAGTTATGATTACACGAAACAAAGTCACAATTGCACTATAAAAAGTTCAAAATGTGAGGAAAAAAGTCACATTGAGTTTAAAAGTTGCAATTACACGAAACAGACAGTTGCGCAATATAAAGTTCAAAATGTGATATAAAAATTCACATTTTGAGTTTAAAAGTTGCAATTACACGAAACAAAGTCAGTTGCGCAATTTAAAGTTCAAAATGTGAGATAAAAAGTCACATTTTGAGTTTAAAAGTCGCAATTACAAAAAAAACAAAGTTGCGCAATATCACATGGCACATAGCAAGATTTAGTCACTGAAATTTATTAAATCACATTGGGGGGTATAAAGTCAACTGTGAGAAATTAAATCGCCATTGGGAGGTATGAATCACAATCTTGTTTGGTTTTACTCTGAGAAGAAAACAGCTTCCTATCAATGACAGTTTCACAAGATGTTAAAAGCATTAGTAACAAACTCTACATCAATAGCTGTAATAAATGAGATCCCTCATAACACTCAAATGTTCTTACCGCTGACTGTGACTGTCACTCTTTTTGTGGCAGCAACTGGGCTGGGAATTCCTGGGAAGACGATGTTGATCTGCAGCTCATATTCCCCCTGTGTCTCTTCATCCAGATGGACAAATTTTAGTGAGACATCAGGCAAACTGAGTGCCGGACGGTTCGTTAGCCGCAGATTTGGGATGGCATTGATGTTGTCGAAAGTGACCAAAAGAGTGTTATTAGGCTTAATCTTGTACCAGGACCCCTGGAACGTCACATTCTGGACATCAAAATGAGTCTCAACTTTGAGGAGCATCGAGTCCCCCACTTTTCCATGCTGTGTGGGCTGCAGTGAAACACATTCAGTGCATTTAGTGTCCGTACCTGTTCAAATGAGAGTGTTAAATGGTGTTTAATGACTCCTACTGTCAAAAAAAACAACAACAACACACATATAATCAGTTTTATGTCATTTTAAAAGCGCTATTCAGTCATGACATCAATCGAAAGCTAAGTCACCATGGATTTCCTCAGGAAGTTCAAATGGGTTTTTAATATTGGCGTTTTTTGATTTATGGTTAAAATAAGGTCACTGAACTTAAAAAGACTTTCATAGCCTATTTTGTTCTATTGCACAAAGTCATAGTTAAAAATGTGAAGTTTGAAACCATTGTGTGCATTAGCAACACTTGATGTTAACAAGTTACATAACGAGTACAGCTACAAGTTCACATGCCATTATATAACGATCTCTTAACAACTTGCAGCTCTCTTTTAGGCTTTAGGGCTAAAAAAAATCATCATTTATTATTTTAGAGGTGCAGTTTTTGTAAGTAAAAAGATTAACATCTCTTGTTAAAAAAGCATGTAATTTCAAAATGACTACTACCGGTAATCAGTCGTTTTATATTTAAATATATTTGCAATTACACATTTGAAATGTTGAAGCTTAGTACATTTAAAATATATTAATTCAAATGTAAATTTTAATAACACACTACAGGTAAAATTTAACATAACATATAATATAAATGTATAATTATTTTATGTTATAAATATCACAATTATATAAATATAACAAGTATACTGCTTTAGAGCATGACAGAAGATTATTAAAACAATGATTTCAAATGTACTTTAAAGTAAAACCTTTAATTATTACAAAATGCACTTTTTAAAAGTGTGTTTAAGTGTATTAGGATTAGGAAACAGATATGAAAGTAAATTTAGCCGTTCATTTCCTGAATATTATATTATCTGCAAGTACAGGCTTTTAAGAATATACTTTCAATATTTGAAGTACACTACAAGTGCACATTCAGTACAATTAAGCACACTTCTGTGTCACAAGAACAACTGTCCATAAAGCAGGGAAGACCATCTGTATGTATACCATCAAACCAATCCAGGCCTCAAATTCTCAATATTAATGTTTTTGGTTATTTGTGCCGAAGAACCTGCAATGTTTCTCATTAACAGTGACTCTGCTGATTAAAACATTCATCTAAATCCGTTGCTAATCTGAGCAGCTTCCCTTCTCCTGCGGTTCACTCGGACACTTCAAATTAACCGTACAAAAGAAATTTTGCAGAGTAGGACATCCCTCACATAATCTTCAATTCCAGCATGACACTGGATTTATCCACATCACTAATGAGTCCATACACAGATGTGCAGTTTAATCACCACTGCCTTTGCCCTGATCCTATACCTGCCTGAGCAAATATTGACCGGCTTCTCAGAATGATAGTAATCAAACATCAAGTTCTCTCTAATTTGTCTGAACAGGTCCGTGAGCAAACACTCAAGCATTGCACGCACTGCATGAAGTCATGGAGACCTGATCGCAAGAATAAAGCTCCCATGATGCTGGGAAGATAACGTACTGGACTGAACTGAACTCTTGATGTATCTCATTTACTTAAGGATAAGATTTCTTTTGCATGGATGAAATGAACGTAGGCCGTGGAGGCCCTGCTTTAACTGACAGCTGTTAATCTGCATTACGTTGCTAGGCAAGGCCGTGTGGCAGCAGGCAGGTAGGCAGCAAGCAGGTAAACAGTCTCATACTCCTCCCTCTTTATCGCTCTCAGGCCCCTTAACTACCCGGACACGGCCATCTCCACCCCCTTTACTCGCTTCTGCCGGCCTGCTAACAGCTAGTGTTGTGCATTACAACTGCGTGGCTCGTGTTGTGCACTAAATAATAAATAAAGACACCCCTATTGCACGCATAAAGGGCCAGAGGGCAGATTCAGTGGAAGCAAAAAGCGTGCCTGTGTTTACGCCACACTAAGCTATGAATACATCACTAATAATTGTGCTTGGCCTGTTCTGGTCTTATTGTCTCCAAACAAGGTGAGGATTATTGGGGGGATAGCAACAGTGCACTTACTCCACCACCACAATAGGCGTTATGAATTGAGCCATTCACACCTACAAGTGAACGAGCGACTCCTTATGCGTCTCCAAACAAAAACAAACATTAGACTATTCACACCCCATGATAATCCACTACGGTCATTTATGCTGCTACCAAAATGCACAAATGAGTGGACTGGAAAATGAACAAAAGCCTGACCGTGAATAATCCAATAAGCCTCGAATGATTGTTTGTGCATTTTTAAAGCAGCATGTGACACGAAAGGCTAAATGTATGAAGCGTCTGCCATAAGACTGTGAGTCGTATATATACATATATTACATTTTGTGAGTTTGAAATGGAATTGTGAAAACTGTAATATAAGACAACAGAAATTTTACAATCATGATAGGACAATTTGTGCTTTTGTTAAAACGTTACGAATTCCATTTAGCAAAAACAAACAAAAAAAGAAATAGCATCTCACAAGTTAATTAGAAATAAGTAATAAAAATAGTTTGAAATGAACAAAAATATATGATTTTATACATTTTAAGGTATATATATATATATATA